TTCCCTTTTCCCTGTGATACATACAGCCTGTGCAAACAACCGTCGCTACAAGAGACTATCCGCGAAAGTTTTGTCACGCGGACGCGTTCCCTCCATGTACGACTCGTTGCGGAAAACGGTGGTGACGCTGAGCGTTGTTCCCATGTTACTCAAGGGCTATCAAAGTTCATGCAGTGCGTTGCTTGGGCATATCCGAGTAGGTTTCACAAAGAAAATAATACGGTGATGCCATTGTATACATCATACCTGCTTTGTTTGAATAAAAATTCTGTATATAACACACTTCGAACAGTGTCCAGTTATTTCATGCACTCGGTCGCTTAGCGAAACTCTCTCGCGAGAGAACACTTAATCAAAAAATGAAATTGAAAGATACATATTCAACAAATTTAGCTGCATGTGCTCAGAGCCCTCCATGTCAAGAGTTAGTGAATGCCATCACGATATGTTGGTAAACTAAGGTGACATGACAGTATGAAGAGCCGATTACGTGAAGGCAAGCCAGTGGTATTTCGTACGCAAATTTTACATATGGTCATATATGAAAACTTCCAGATATGGCCATACAAACAATTGGCCACATATACCTCATTTATGCCATATACATGTACGTGTGTGGCAAAAAGAAAGGTATAAACCTTTTCTGTGTACTCTCGTCTCCAGCCACCTAATAGGCGTATCCGGTATGGGCGACGAAAAAATAATACAGCGTTTCAACCTGCAAATAGTAAAAAAATAAAGTGGAGGCAAAACGACAAAGTGTGACGTTCACGCTTATATCCTAAATGCCTTCTATTGGCGTGGCAAAGGCAAAGTGCTCAATGTTTTCGCCCATACTGGAAGGGACGTCGAATCAAGATGGCGGCGCACTTGCAAAAGGTCTATATGTGGCCAGTGTTGTGTATGGCCGTATCTGGAACCAGCCGCATATACCACATTTGCACCATATACATGTATATGGCAGAAATAAGGTATATGTGGCCATTTTTTGTATGGCTATATATGGAACCAGCCGTATATACCATATTTGTGCCACGTATATGGCAGAAATAAGGTACATGCAGTCAATTTTGATATGGCCATACCTTAAAGTTTTTTGTTTTGTTTCTTATACTACCAGATATGAAATCAGAATTTAAATATTGCCACGTATAGTGCAAGTGTGTCCAATTTTTTATATGGCACCAATCTATTAGGTGTAGGGCAGGTAGATATAATTCATATGACTGCATGTCTGGATTATTTTTATGTACTTTATATTAAAAGCCCATTCCAAACGGGGGTTTTCCACGCAGCCTGGATGGGTGTACAAGTTAAAAGAAAAGAAAGCAAGCCTGAAATAACTAGTTCTTATTTATTGACCCTTTGTATATATTTTCTCCAATTGAGAGCGCATATAGCAACTACAAACACTGTTTTTTTCTGCATTTTATACTACGCAGGTGGTAGGCCGTAAACTCCAAAGAGACCAACTAAAAGTCGAGAAAATATTAGGTGGAAGCAAGGAGCTGGCTAATTTCGGTGTGCAACCAAAATAAACAAGTATAAGAAATTATATTTTTAGATTGTGATCTGCCACATCTGTTATCGCAGCGAGGGATGGTGACCCAAAGACTTCCTTCCCAGTCAGCAATATTTGCTTATCTCTCGCACTAGTTAACTAACACAATGTCTGCCGAGATCACCATTCGTCCAGGAACTGCACTTATCCAGGAGCTGCATTATTTTTTAATTTTTAAAGCTATCGAAACTAACTCACACTGATCTATAACAAGGATAAATCGAATATCAGCTCACCGCAACTCATCCGGCAAGGGGTTTGTTGATGGTCATGGTATTTAAGGACAAAGCTCATTGTACGCGTCACAGTCATATCGCTGTCATCCATGGGTCTTTGAAGCTTACACTACAAGCAACACGATGATTCTCCGAAGTCCGATGACTTGTATGCGAACGAAGCCGAAGAAATGATGGAGCTCAACCTCCTACCTAGCCTGAGAGCGCGCCGACTAGCTCGCGGCGTAGACTGACGACGCCGTTGGTTCACGACCGCGGCTGGCTCTCGCCGTTGACCCCCGAGTGGCCGAACCGGCATCCTCTTAGCCTCGCAGGCAGCCCTCGCGCACTTTCACCGCAGTGCAAGCGCCCGAGGCATCTCACGTTATATCGTTCCATACCAGGGGTGCCAGATGCTGTCTTTCCAGTGGTCCCCGCAGATTGCAGCAAAAACGAAAAAGCAAATCAGTTGGTTAGATTGCCCTTTGAGTGCAACTATTTCCCCGTCGCCTACGTCGAAGATTTTTCCGACGCGCTGCAAGCGGCGCGTCTCTCCGCGCCTTGGCAGAAGCCGGTAGTGCGCCAAAACTACTATCACTATGGTAGTGGTCATTGCGTACGATGAAATCACTACCGTAGTATGTTAGCGCGTACGCGATAACTACCGCCGTATTGGAAGAGCGAAACGTCTGCTTTTTGAGCAGGGGTTTCGGTGACGTCAGAACGACGCCGAGTTGTTATTGGTTAATATATATTATTATTGAAAGGATAGTGGGTAGACCTCAAGCAAGATGCCTCGAGGACTACCTACAATTTTATCTTTCAGTTAGCCAATAAGAGCTCGGCGTTTTGACAACATCGCAACCTCTGTGCAAAAAGCAGTCGAACTTGCGCTCAGCATCGGATTTGGCATACCGCAACTCCACTACCCTCACCGCTCACGACAACTCTACTATCCTGAAGAGTCACTCACACCGAATCCTCTACTACCACTACCTCGAAGAATTTCGGCATCCACTCGCCAAAACTGGCGGAAGTAACACCTTTCAGCCAACTACCTTTGTGCCTTGTCATACATGATGACTGAAACCTGAGACTGTGGTTTGAACAACGGAAACTCGTGAAGTAGGAAGAAAAAGGGACAGACAATGTCTCAAACATTGACGAAGAAACGAAGAAAAAGGGACAGACGTCTGCCCCTTTTCCTTCCTACTTCATGAGTTTCCGTTTTTCAAACCACAGTCTCAGGTTTTAATCATCATGTATAACTTGCACCAACTCGCCTGCACTTTAACCTTTTTTTTTTTTCCTTGTCGGCATTCCCACGGTTTCCCTGTGTTTCGCTCGAACGCGACAGCGTTAAGGAGCTTGTGTCACAGAAAAGCCGATGTTCGTGACGTGACGGGATGTCTCAACATTTACATGGGGTCTTAAAAAAATTTCTTCGACGAATGACGACGAAGGAGTAGAAAACGTGTCTTCAGCACGCTGCCGCCAGCCTCTGTAACGCTAGCAGAACTGGAAATCGTCCGTGAGCAAGATGGCTGTCTGGTGGCTTCACTCGTCGCGGGAGCGGGAGGCGTCGACTCGCATCCACTAATCATTGAGATCAGCACTGATCTCAATGACAATTGCTGGATCGCGCTTGCCGCTCCCGCAAGTGAAGCCACCGGGCCTCACTCGCTTGGGATACGATTTGCCGTGTTTGCTAGCCTTTGCTGCGGTTTTCCAGCGTGCTGACGACACGTTTTCTACTCGTTCGTCGTCATTCGCCGAAGAAGTTTTTTGAAGACTCTGTGTATTGTTGAGACTTGCCGTTGTGAACACGTGGAAAAGTTTACGAAAGTGCAGTGTCGCAGGAAAAAGGCACAACGCGTCGAAAGGAAGGGCTGGCGGCGTGTTCAAAGCATCCTTGGCACGCCGAAGTGCCGTGTCTCTGTGCCTTCGCGCGCTTGGATACCGACCAAGAACCGACGCCGTGTGAATGTGTTTAGCGAGTGCAATGTGCGTGAAGCCGTGTCAAAAGGTACAACTCGTCGAAAACGTGTCGCCGGTGTCGCGGCGTGATCAAAGCTTCCTTGGCACGCCGAGTGATGCATCTTTGTGCCTTCGCACGCTTGGATACCGGTCAAGAATTGACGCCGCGCCAAAGTTCTGAACGTGTGTCGCGCGTAGGTGCCTTTAGATCATTTATATATATCGGCCACGGAGTTCTGGATCGTCCAGCTGTTCCGGTGAGTTGCTATCAATAAAAGGGGGAGATCTGTACGTGTTCTTATGTACTATATTAACCATGGCTATGTCCCAAATCTACTCTAATAGATTCCGTGGGAGCACGAATAGGGCAACGTTGTGGAGCCAGGGGGGTTTTCGAAAGCAAAAGTACAAGACGACGAGAATGAAAATCTTTGAAGCGCGGCCGATATGGTCGTGTGCAATCTGTTGACCAGTTACAATTAGGCGAGCCGCGCTCAAACGTCAAGTGCAATTAAGCGGGTTGATAATAAGCCAGCACTGATCAGTGATGAGGAGCTGTTGTGCACGGTATTGTGGAAATCGTCTAAGGACGAAAAAAAGACGTACCTTCTCCCCATCTTCCGTCGCTAGTGGACGCTGGATTAAGCTCGTTCCTAAACCGCGAGAGGAAAAGACGCTGATCCAGAGGCACGAACAGCTTCACGCACATTGCACTCGCTGAACACATACACACGGCGTCGGTTCTTGGTCGGTATCCAAGCGTGCGAAGGCACAGAGACACGGCACTTCGGCGTGCCAAGGAAGCTTTGAACACGCCGCAGCCCTTCCTTTCGACGCGTTGTGCCTTTTTCCTGCGACACTGCACTTTCGTAAAATTTTCCACGTGTTCACAACGGCAAGTCTCAACAATACACAGAGTCTTCAAAAAACTTCTTCGGCGAATGACGACGAACGAGTAGAAAACGTGTCGTCAGCACGCTGGAAAACCGCAGCAAAGGCTAGCAAAAACGGCAAATCGTATCCCAAGCGAGTGAAGCCCGGTGGCTTCACTTGCGCTGCAGCGAACAAGCGGGGAAGCGCGATCCAGCAATTGTCATAGAGATCAGTGGAGATCAGTGGATCATAACAACTTGTCTCAACTGTTCTAGTTTTTATAACAAAACGTTATGTGAAGCAACGCTTTAGCGTTCTAAGATAAATTCCACAGCACCTGTAGCTACCTCGTGGACAACTTTTTGTCTTCGACCACTTTCTGCCTTTAGCTTCATAGTCATAAGCATCCAATCCAACTCAATCCAACACAAGCGCAGCGTCGCAGACGGCAGGGCGGCAGGGACGAGACCGGCATTTTTTTAGGCCTAACCATTGAAACGCAGGACAAACGTCAACATGTCGTGAGTACCGCTTTAGTTTTCTGTGAAACATTAGTACGTTAATAACGCCATAGCTATGTAGCAGTTATACGAGAGACCTTAAGTTTGTACGGGATATATGCTTACCAGTCTCGTTGGAGCGGCGCCTGCTGTACTCGACGAGAATGCCTGTCATCGCTCAACACGCGTTTCTGCTTGCCGTTGCAGTCTTTTGCAGAAACCCAAGAGTGAAATGACGCCAGAGGAACTGGCGAAGCGGGAGGAAGAAGAGTTCAACACTGGACCTCTCTCTGTGCTGACGCAGTCCGTGAAGAACAACACTCAAGTTCTCATCAACTGCCGGAACAACAAAAAGTTGCTGGGTCGAGTAAAAGCATTCGACCGGTAAGTTCGGCGTTACGCAGCGATAACAAGGGCATCGCTGTAAATTGTAATGTGTGTGTGTTTAGTCAGCCCAATGGGTGTCTAATGTCTCAACAGTACATAGATGGGAAATTTAGCCTATGGCGTACCACTGCTAGCCTGTGGCTTTCAACGTGCATCACGCGGCAGTGATGCTCGACCGCAAACGCTTTTAAAGCGGTTATTCGCGTTGAACATATGCGAAGCGCAAGTTTGTCTGCTTTTGGCAGGGGTTGTGGTGACGTCAGAGTGCCGAGCTCTGATTGAAGGATAGCGGGTAGACTTGAAGGCGGCTTGCTTTGAGGTCTACCCACTATCTTCAATCAGAGCTTGTCTCACGTCACCGCGACCCCTGCAATATAAACCGACGAGCTTAGGCTCCGCATAGTTCCCGACCAAGATTGCACCCTCCAGCTCCTGATTTTGATTTGGGGATTCCAACTATCTGCTGTTTGTCCTCGGGAGAGAGAAACATAATGAATGCGAACAACCGGTTAAAATATATCATCGTACAAGTGGCCGTCACGGTTCATTGCTAAAAAAAAAAAAAAAAAGAAAAACCTAAGTGGCTGCTTGGAACAGTTAAGTTTGGGGCAACTGTGCATTGAAGATGCACAAATTAACCCCCCCCCCCCCCCCCCCCCCCCCCCCCCCCCCCCTTTTCTCCCTGTTGTACCCAATTGCCGGAAGTTTGTCGAGCTTCTATTCATATTTACCAACGACGCATACCGAGTGAACAATTTTCATCTTGCCTTCGCTCCGACTTGCGCCTCGACTGTCCGTAGGAGCTAGTCATGTCCATCAGCGGCAAAGGACTTTTCCCTTGCCTGCCCTTTACGACAATCGAGTGTTCCCAAACGCGTCTTTGGCACCGCGGAATGCAAGGAAGGTGCACGTCAAAGGCAACGTAGAGGGTGTGCAACGACGAGATAGCCATGCGTGCAGCGCGTTGCTCGAGGCCGGGGAAGACAACAGTGTTAGGTGGATAAACAGATGCACAAGGTGCGCAAGGAGCAGATAGACTTGTACACCGTACAGTCGCCGAAACAATTAAAATGACAGAGGTTCTTGTGCGAGCTTCCCACCTTCGATAACATTTCGGCGTTTTGGGAGCCTAGAGCCTGCACAAATGCATTCGTCGCAGAAGGCAACAAATGCATGCCGAAGGTCGAGCGTCAGAAAGGGATGCCCTGCCTTTCCCACCCTGTCCGTAACTAGAGCGTTTCTGAGCAATGTCTTTTGCCTCATGCTAGCTTTTATAAAGTGTGTAATTTTGTTGGGTTTGTCTTTTTCTGCACAGTCATTGCAACATGGTTCTCGAGAATGTGAAGGAGATGTGGACAGAGATTCCCAAGACAGGAAAATCCAAGAAGAATAACCCCGTGAACAAGGACCGCTACATTTCCAAAATGTTCCTCCGCGGCGACTCTGTCATCCTCGTCCTCAAGAACCCCCTTGCTTCTCAGAAGGCGTAAGGGAACCACGGCCAGTGGCACTCCTCATCTTTGCGACACACTTCTTCACCCTCAGACACTCTTTTGTACCATAATAAACATTCTTTGCGAGTTGCACCGTCTGCAGCCCTTGACGACAGCGGTTCTGAGCAAGCAGATCTGCTCCATCATGACCCTCGTCGCTTTTTATCACTGTCGAACTTGAAGCCGCTTCATGTTCTGTCGTTGCCATGCGCAATTGTAATCCCATTTTGCAGAAGCTTGTGTTTCATCTGCTATGTGAAGCAGAGTTCACAGCTTCGCAGATTTTGTTACAAGGTATGCTTGTACTACTGGTAAAAGCATGCGAGGTGTAAACAGAGGGACGAGTTTTCCTGAAACAAATTACATTAACCGAGTATGTAGAGATCCTACTGTATGTAAAAAGACAACAAATTTGACATTTGTGTTCAGACTGTAAGGTGTGTCCGTCTGAGGTGCAGTAATGTCTGTACAGTTAACTCGTTCATTCAAACATTTGTGTCCAGACTTTAGTTTGTATTATTAGATTAATATAAATATGATGCAAGGCAAAGTAGCGATTTGCTATAAGAATACCTACACATACCAAGCAGATTTTTTTTCCTTTTCTCTATACAGGCCTAGTTAAAAGCAGGCACACAGATAAAACATTGGAAAAGTTCATTAGGGCAGCATATAAACGACAGATTTTACTTAAAACTAAACCTAAAGAGACGCCTAGCTATTCTAATCGAGGGTATTTATAAATCTGCTTCCAATATGCAAATATTCTTTAATCTCAAATTTAGCCTCTCCAGCTTTTGAGGAGGAGGAAGAAAGGGTATGGCCCTCCTCCCACAGTTTCCCCGCTAAAATGGGTTGAAAAATTGACGCCACATGACCACACCAATTCGATTCCACGCTAAGGGAGCTGGATTGGTGTTGAGATCACGTGAAGGCAATTTTCCCGCTAAATCTAGCGGAGAACCTGAATTTGTCCGCTAAATCTAGCGGAGAAACTGAAATTACCCGTTAAATCTAGCAGAGAAACTAAATTTTGTTTCTGCTAAATCTCGCGGAGAAACTGAATTTCCCCACTAAATTTAGCAGGAAATAGGTGTTGAGGTCATGCGACGTCAATTTTTCCGCTAAATTTAGCGCAGTTACGCCGCCGCCGTGAAACGAGCACCTAAGAGCTGCGCCCCAAAATAAAAAAAGCAAGGACGAACAATGAAAGCAGATTGCCAGAACGGTTCTGGTTGCATAATCGCGGTGTTTAGTCCCATCGAATGTGCTTCTCGCCAAGCACCCGCGTACTGTGGAAAAGCAATGACCGCAAGCTTTATGGGTTTTGCTTTCCCAGAGTACACAGGTGCTTGGTGGAAGGCGCACTCTTTGGGGCTAACTCACCGCGATGAACAAATAGTAGAAATTAAGAGGAAACAATGTTTGAGAATGTTTGAATTAAGGAGCTTATAAATTCATTAAAAGCATAGCGGGAAAACCAAAGTTTTTAAATTTGTTTCAATTAACCGAAAGTAGGAAATGTCCAATTGAATTATCGCAAGTGCACTGTAGGTGACAAATTTAGCCAGTGCAGTGTTACTACAAGCCTGGGGTCTATAATGTGTACTGCGCAGTAGTGATACACAACTGCACACCAAGATGCTCGCCCAAATCTAAACTGGCATGGGTGAGGCTTGACCCCAGGATCCCTGGGCTCTTCAGCGGAAGCTTGCGCTCCATGTGCTCGGAGCTGCGGAGATGAGAGGAGGCTACGATAGGAGGGTTTGTGCCTATTCCGATGAGCACATCCTCGCAGCCCCCCTCTCCACTCCACAGTCCTAACAGCCTCCAGATGACGCTACATGTATCGAACACCATGCGCTCCGGACACTAGCGTTTCATTTCATGCCAATGGTGCATAGCCAATTACAAGTTAAAAATGTATGAGCTTATGGTTCTTTCCAGTATGAGCCCATTGCCCTAGCAGACGAACTTGCGCTCCGCATAGGCTTAAAAGTGCACTGCAAGAAGACTTAAACGGACCAATGTTTCAAATGGAATGCTCATCAATGGCAAACACAAGCGTTTAGTGACATCATAACATAACTAAAAGTGACGGCATTGGCAGGAGAGGCTCAAAAAGTGCATGTTACCAGTTCTTTTGCTTTGTGGCCCAATTCTCGCTCACATCTTCGATGGAAGCGCCCATATATCTGCTAATCGTCCACACCTATGCAACTGGATGCGTGCAACCACACGTCGAGATCTAGTGTCACAAACCCTTTATTTCGGCACTCAGCAAGATCGAGGTAAAAAAAGAAAAACGGGCATCATTCCTTCTCGGCAATGGCGACAAGATGAGCGTCGATCTCCTGTTCCGTCAGGGTCCTGAAACAAAAACGTAAACGTCAGTGCCAATCTGTGGAATTCGTTCGATTGCTAATCAGCCAAACTCTAACGTTTTGTGGTCGCCAGGAAACTAGAGGAACCCGCTTCGTGGTTGAACGGAGGCTATCCCAATCCACACAAGCGGACGGAGTTAAGCTCGAGATTTGTCCTTTGCCGGCCCTTTCGTTCACTCGATCGGCCGGCGTAGGGGCCCTCACCTGAACAGCGGTTCGTCCTTTGACACCACTCCCACCTCCAGTTCGGAAGGCTTGAAGTCCGCCGAGAGGACACTCGAAAGTGCGCTGATCGCCAGCTGCAATGTGAAATAAAGCGGCGACACAAGCGAGTTGGTTTGAGGCTAACGAAAAGACGGCACACAAAAACACGAAGACTAGCAAAAGGAGCGTATGGACGAGCGCCTGCCCACGTCCCAAGATAACCAAATTCGACGTCCCCGTTTAGCCGGCGCAACATCGGTCCGCCTCTCGAGCTACGGCAACACCGCTTTACACTGCAGACGAGAAATTCGGCTCGTGCAGTACGACTGCCGGCCCAGGGTCATTAACGTGCGTCGCGCAGCAGCGATGCACGTTAAAGTAGCGACGCGCGATTGCACGCAGGAGCAACGCTCATCCAGATCGACACGGGCGGGGGCGAAGATTGAACCCGAGATTCCCGCTCCGCGTGCCACAAGCTGCGAAATGTCAACGCGCCCGACCGTCGGTCCCCTTTGGCCTCGCGTGAGCATGCGCTTACAAGTTTCTTCGGCATCGGGCACCGACCAGGCCGCCGACAAGTCTCGTCAGAAGTGTGCACGTAGCTACGGCGAAGGCACGTGCTGCCTTGTGCTCCCGGCTTGCCGGAGAACATTTTACGGCAATCCGTCGATGGCGTCCTTGCGCCGGCCACGTTTTAGGCCGTTTTCGCCCCGTCGGCGACTCTGGCGTCCTGAGCCTTTCTCGCAGTCATGAAACGCGTTCGCTCGGAAACGTTCTGAGCTTCGAGCCCACCTGTATGGTCTCGGCGTGGTTGTAGTCCTGCCTCTTCTTGAACTTCTTCTCGAGGTAGCTGTTGGCCTCCGTCTGCTTCACACCCACGCTGGTCGCCTTGTAGCCGCAGTAGTAGCCCGCCGGATCCGCCTTGTACAGCTGCGGGCCCCGCTCTTCGTCGTAGGCCACCAGCATCATACCTGCGCGGCACGACGGAGACCCCACACAAAAGGGACGTCAGAATGGAAAAGGCACGAAATAGATAACTCGGAACCCTCAAAGGACGAAGGGAAGTATGGTGCACGTGCGTTGCGCGTCTAAGGCACTAGGGAGCAGTACCGCAGGAGCAAAGATGTGCTCCGATAAGAAACCAAAACACGTCCAAGTTTCGCGTTTTCTCGGAAAGCCGCAAGCTTTTGCCCCTGCCTTATATCCTTCTGAAACAAGTTGATTTACAGGTTTTCGATGATGCTTAGCAAGTTTCTCATTGGACCCACACATTCATGTCGACTAAATGGAAAAGCAATCCTGGACATCTGCTGTGGCAGGCAGTTGGTTCCCAGAAAGAGCTTCTTTTTTTCTCGCCCACCCCAAGTTTCGAGATTTTTAACAGCCTTCTCTAAAACGCCCAGTATATGCGCAAATCGGAGTAGCGCGACAAAATGCCGTCGAGGTGTCATGTCACGTGACACTACATCACGCAATGTGGTCACGTAACACCCAATGTTACTAAACATAATGACGTTGTTGACACTTAGATCTACTACTGCATCGTGTGAGCCATAGTAGAGTAAAGCTAAATTCGGCAGGCAGTTACCATTCTAGATTTAGCTGACAACGGCTTGGTATGGCTACGACTGCACAAACTTCACTTCCGTTAAGAACTTGAAACACATTCAAGGCTTAAATGAAAAGTGTTGGGCATCGAAAGCCTGCAGCGGCACACGAGAGAAGGGGGGCCACTCACTGCATCCCAGGGGCCGCATCTCAGCGTTTTGGGTGTAGACCTGGGAGATGTCGGCCACCCGGCGGCAGAGCATGTCCACGGGGATCGGGTAGCCAAACTTGTGCTTCCAGTTGGCCGCTTCGTAGCGCGCGCGCTGCACCTGCGACTGCCCGTCCGCTGCACAAGAGGGGGAGACGAGAGGTTCGACACGCGAGACATTCCTAAGCTCGGACACGCTGTCCAACACAACGAACGTGCCACGGCCATCGCGGGATTCCGGAAGGGGCAGTGCAACGATTCTCAGACTTGGGCAGACTAATTACAGGAATTGGTATGGGTCACCCTTACAGAGTGTAAATTTTTTTGGTCTTTACAGATTTGTTTTTACAATTCAGTCGAAGTTACGCTAATGCTGTTTGTGTGCAGGTGAGCTACACGGTCAGAGGCACATAATATAAAATTTGTTAATAAACTTTTTAACGAGTGAAAATGAACACATGGTTCCAATTAGCTACTTCCCGAGCATCGTCAAAAACCACCATCTCAAGATACCGGGGAAGCGCCCACCCCATCTTCACTGTGTTTTCGATAACTCACGGTAAGGTTTTCATTGGAACCACACGTTTATTTACACTAATTTAAAAGTTCATTAACACAGTATAGTTCATTAGCCGACCTATTGTGACCATTAGCCCTCTATATTGCTTCCCCCTTCCCACAGAACTTGTCCGCACAAACTGCGTTAGTGGATCTTTCGCACTTTTTTAAGAACAAATCTGTAAAGTCTGAAAAAAAAATAAACACCCCATAGAATGAAGAACATAAAGACACATCTTTCCTTGCGCGCATTTGTTCTTATTTTAAAGGGACGAAACAAATCAAAGTTTGGGGTGCCCCTCAACTCTCACGCCGTCCTTTGAGCGACATCATGGGAGGCCGGGGGGGGGGGGGGGGCGGGGGGGGGGGGATTGAGTGGTTAGTTTTCGGATTCTGTCTTCGGGGCATCTGCAACCGCCGACTTTTCAAAGTATTCACGTCACCGAAGGTCGCGGCAGGCGATCGAGACAAATAACTGTTCAGACAGGGAGGCTGGGAATGGTTTGGTTGACTTCCGCTGGGTGGCGCCACAAACACTTGCGTACTCCTCACGAGGTGACACTGTGTTTCCTGTGCCCGGAACACGCGGCTGTGCAGCGGCCGTGGAACCACGTGTTGAAATACATTCGGTGTTTTAGCATGGAATGTTTATGTGTTTATCTGTTCATTTCTGTGTTATACTTATGTGTTAAAACACACAATTTTTGGCGGTAAAACATAAAAGTTATGGAACTGAAAATTAAAACATAAAACACACAGAATTTATGTGTTAAAACACATTAAACATCCGTTTTATGGGGCGTTTCCTATGAGAAAACCACAACGAACAAGTGTCGTAACGACCGTCATTGCGACCGTCATGAACAAGCCACATTTTAATTGAATTCATACGTGCCAATAAGAACAACAGATGTTGAATAGAAAAAAAATTAATTATAATTATATTAAAACAATAAAAAGTGAAATAAATAAAAATAAAGAAAACGTGGAGAAAAAAGTAAGATTGAAAAATCTTGCACAAACAACACACTGAGTGTGGTTTGTGCGCAAAACATTCGGTGCTTTTTGGTCTTTGTCAGCATTAGCGAGCCTGTGAAATTCTTCCCTTTGCAATTGTGCAGTGAAATCGCAGCATTTCAAGAGAAGGGGGCGCGTTTCTTCTCGCTAGTGCCGAGATAAACAATATAAGCAGCAAATTCTTGTAACGACAAAATTGTCGCGCCGTCCATTAAACAAGCAGCACTTGCTATCGGAATTTAGCGGAAATATTTCCCCAGCATATTCGGAGGGGAAATTGGGACATTGCACAACACTGCCATGTCGTGCAGTGCTATGAACGCCAACACGAGCGATCGAAATCTGGGAAGGATTCCCATATTAAGTTATCGCCTTAAAAAGTAGGGGCAGCCACTTTACGCTCCGCTCGTTTTAAAAAAGAAATCACAAAGGTAATTTCGTAAAGTGGTGAGGAGAGAAAAAAAATGGGCATCTTACCGACGACGCCGGTCATGACGCAGCCAATGCTCTCGGTAAGCCGGAAGATGTGGGTAACGGTGGTGGGGTCGAGAAGCTTGTCCTACGAGGCAAAAAGACACAGAGCTTTCCACGAGCTGCTCTTCCTCGTTGAGAAACCTGCGTGCACTTCGACTATACTGCACTTCGCTTTACGACGGACCGTAGCAGACATCACGAGCCACTTGAGCCGATCTGACACTGTAAACATGACATGTGACTGCGCACCCCACATGTTACCGAGCCTCTCCCAGAAGTCAAGTGACACGCGTGTGGCCCTAAATTGGGTCGGACGACTCGTAGCGTTCTCCACGGTCATTGTAAGCCGAAGCGAAACATCCGTGCGTGTCTGCAGCGTGCCATCGGGCTTCGGTTCACTCACGGAAAAGAATCTTTGCCTCTTTAGGAGTCATGCAGCTACTAATCGGGGTCACATGACCCCTCAGAGTCCACTCGAGGAAAATGGCGAACTGAGTGCACACAATGGAAAATTACCTTTTTCCAAAATTCAGCACTATCTAGTGGTTCTAAAGTTGTTCTAACCTATGTCGCACCAACTGCAGTAAAAATTGGCACTTCGAAGGACCCTGTTGCACCGAGCGCCATTGACGGCAGAAACGGTATGTGTTCTTTACTGCACAGTTCTTCTCGGTTCGTTTCAGTTTCGGAGGCCACTGGGAACTTGCAGCCTGTACGAAGCCCAGACGTGATTGAGACCCTAGACCAAACTCGCCAAGTCCAAAAACTTATGGGTCCAATGGTGCCCCAAATCGTAAACCAGACGAAAGTCCAAAACGAACACGATTCGGGTGCCTCACTGCACCGACGTCTAGAACGTATGGGCCCCGTGCTATCCGCTTTGGTGTATGCACTCAACTTCCTCCTTCGCTAGCCACTAGATGCTGCCATTAGCATGCCACAGATGTCGTAAAACTCTGACAACGATGGTAATCGAAGTGACCCAAGCAGGTTTCAAAAACGGCATGTTGTATGATGATGCTCTGTGTCTGTAGAAACCAAGGGGATCTATACTCTATCTCACTAGTTACGTGCAGGGCTGTGGAAGTGGCAGGCAAGAGGGGGGGAAGGCCGCTTCTGTACGAATTTCGAGCGACAGGCTAAATTCCGAGGGGGACAAAAGTAATGGCCGAGATACGCAAAAGGGGGTCCGGGTGAGAGGGGAGTCCCCATTTCCCTCCCCTTCAACTGCTTGGGCTACTCTCTCATCTCTGTACCTTCAATAACCTTGCACGTAACTAGCGAGATATAATACAGCACACTGCAAGCATTCGGCGGGTGTACAGTAAACTGAAAGAATTGGGGAAAACCCAGTACATACGGGGACTTTCTTCTGGGACACGATGACGGCGGTGTCCACGCCCTTGACTCCGATCGAGGTGAGAGCCCCCTGGTTGATTGCCTTGAAGGCATACTCTGCAAAGGGACAAAGCAGAAACTGCACTTTAGCGTCGTCACGATCTCCGACGAAGTTAGCGTCCTGAACCTGGATGCTGCAGAACGTGTGCTACCTATTGTCTGCTGCACGATCCCTTCGCACAGAGCTCTCTGTTCACCACGATTGGTGCCTACCTCCTCTCCCCGCACCCCCCTCCCCAGCACTCACTCTGCTACACTGGAAAGAGTTCGTGGGAAGGGCTTGTCATTTCTAAATGGACATGGGGTAGATTAGCTATGCTAAAACCAACGAATGTTTACATGGGAGAAAAGCTAGACAGTCTCGAAATAGCATCTCGTGTCTCCGATGTCGACTGGGAATTCGGACAGTGCAGTTATTAAGACTGCCAACTCATTTCGACCTCGCCGGCGCTTGAACTTTTGGTAGAGCCACAGTGGCACAAACTCAAAAAACGTGCATCGCTGAGCTGCATCGAAGTTTGCATGGTCCTGGCTTGTTCAAAAGGATCAAACGATGTTAGGACAACCTTCATTTACGGTTCAAACACCAAAGATCTGGAACAGTATCGACAATTGTAGCCGGCCTCCGTGTCACCGAGCATGCGACCACATCCACTTGCCGCCGCGGCAACGACAACAAATCGAGCTCGACGGAAAAGAAAGTCGCTTGGCGACAAAAGAAAGATGTGTAGAGTACGAACCGACTTGGTAAAGTCGCCCCTCGGGCGAGAAAATCGTAATGTGCCGATCAAAACCAGCGCTAGTTCCTCTTGCCATGATGACTTTGCAACACAAACTCCTCGGACCACAAACCAAGCAAAAGCCGACGCGCCGGCACGCATCGGGTTTTCTCTATTCTAATCCTAATCAATTAAAACGTTAGGTGAATTAAATTTTATAACGTGTTAATTAGTTTATACTTCCTTAATATTGTATTAATTTTAATTATTAATTTGAGTTCAATAATCTATACGTAATGCGTTCGAATGTTTGCGAGAGTGGAGGTTCGTGACGTCAAGACTCAACAACTGCAAGACTTCGACAAACCGAAGCGGACTCCCTCTGCTTCCGAAACAAATGTCTGAGAATGTGCGAAAGGGAAAGTGGTGGATAGATATCTCGTGAAAGAGTGTTGTAAAACGAGTAAACTCGTAAACCGATAAATCTTCGCCATGCACAGGTGCCCCGCAGACCTTCACCCGTCTCAAGCCAGGCGCCACGTGACGCGGCGCAAAAAAACCTTCGTTTGAAAGTCCAATCATTTCGACGAGTACGGGGAAAGCCACCGCCGCCGGCTTGTGCGAGGGAAAAACCACTTTCATTCGAGTCGGAGCAATGTGCCACTACTTCACCAGAAAGAAAACGAGCGAGTTGTTACGATTACGGTAAGTAGGTCGCCTCGCCCAGCCCTCGGTGAAAACAACAAAAAACAAAAGCGACGTCTGCGGAATGGTGAAGTCGAAGAATTATAAGCTATCCGTCCTCGTTGGCAAGCTAGGCAGCCCGCTGGGACAGATGTTCACATGCTATACAACGATGTTTATGTCACTGCAGTCGCGCGCTTTTATCTCCAGCAGCCGGACAATCAGCTGCGGAAATTGTTTGCAGAGCCCGCGGACGGGGTGAACGGCAGCTGGCGGTGAAAGGGACTTGAACAACCGCGTCGCCTCTCCGCTGTTGACTCGCGAAAACAAGTGAACATGTCGACCGTGGCGAGCACGCCTGACTGGACGGAAGACAGTTGGATTTTCCGGCTGTTTATCAACATCCTCGGCTACTCGTCGGTCATCTGTCCCGGTGCACTCGTCATCTACTATGTCAAGAAAACCAAATATTTCGAAGGCAAAGGCAAGTACACTCTCGATTTCATACTAACTATAGTCTCGAGTTTAACAGCTGCTTGCCTGTATTTTTTTTTTCTTTAATCGTTAAAATTGTTTTTTGAAGCTGTTGAATTCGACCTACCTTTTAAAACCAGACAATACAATGTCTTTAATATTACCTACCACCTAAAATTACTTACCTATTTGAAGGCGTTGTCTTTAATGCTTCCTACCACCTAAAGCCACTGACCACCACCTTGAAAGTGTTTTCAAAACCACCTACCACCTAAAGCCACTGCAAACTTAGGACGTTAAAGGTGAGCGAGGAGGAGTGGCAAATCCCGTGCGCTGACATCTGTAGTCTCGAGTGAAAAATGGCAAAAGAGTATGACAGAATATGAGATAAAAACCAATGTAGCCAGCTGAAGGAAAACCCTCTAATGGTAAGTATGAGTACTGAAAACTCTCTAGTATACTGTGACAACGTAACATTGTCACGGTAAGTTATATCATGATAATCTAAATGTCTAGCTATTTCTAACGCTTATGATGAAGTAATGCAGTCATTACACCGCATTAACTTCCCTTCTGATAGCTTTTTGTATATGTGACAAACCCTTGCACTCTCGAAAAGATGGTGTTTACAAGATTTCGTTTTCTCGAAGTGCGTCTGACCGCAATTAACCATCACAACTATAGTGCTAAACTGCTTATCTGCTTTATTTTTGCATTGCTGCAATGCGATATACCTGGGCACTGTGCAAAAAGAAAGCTTCAAAGGAACGCAAATATCCTTCCACCAATAAGCATGCAGCGGAGGAAGCCGTTATGCAGTTCTGACTTCTGACAATAAACAATGCTGCCATGGTTCTTATGAAGACCGTCAAAGCTAGCTAATAAAACGTGAAGCTAGTTGGCTGAAGATAGAGCAAATAGAACGGCAAGCTGGTTTATGTTGCACAATTTGTTAAACAGCGGAGGCAACAGACACAGATGGGACTAACAAGATTTTTGTCTCCTTTTCCATCCGTCATATCAGATATTTTTTTTTTTTTTTTTAATGTGAAGCTAGTTGCTAACTATGTGTGGGACTCCAAAGGTCCGCCTCCACGCTCCGCCGCCTGCGGCAGCCGAAATGCATGAGAAAATGGCTGACCTTTTCCTCTAAATTTAGTATAGAAAAAAAAGCTAAAAAAATTCTTGGAAAAAAACAAAAAGACAACAAAAAAACAGGTGAATTCTGTTTTTTTTTTCCCCATGAGTCTGAATAGCACTTTTGTTTTCTTCGAAGATTTAACTACACGCGAGAAAACACGAAAAACTTCCTATCGGTCATTACATCATAAAAGGACCTTTCGGCTGCCAAGTGCGTGTCGCTCATGTGGGCAGCGCGTGCAATTGCAAGCTTGCCAATTATATTCCCCCTACACTGACACCAGTCGTGACGTATTTTTCTTGCCTTTGTGAAAATAGCAGGGGTGCGCATTCATATGTTTGATAGGTGCTGGAGATGTGCGAGAGCTGAAATTCTGAAAACTCCTTTTATGGTGCAGCGCTTCAAGAAGGAGGGGCTTCAGCGGTCCTTTGAAAATGATTTTTTGCAGCCTCCGTCCACCAAACTGAAAAATTATTTCGCTATTCGTGATTCTGGAGGCCAGACGAAGGCAATTTAAGTGTTTCTACTCAAATACATAACCGCTTCAGCTTCCCTTTAGCTCAATGTGCACGATACCTATTTGGAATTTCTGTCTTCAATGAACCACTGAATACTGCTTCCTCTCAATTGTTGTCTTTAGTTCCCCCCCACAACCAAAAGCCACAAAATACTACCTCTTTTGAAAGTGTTGTCTTCAATACTACCTACCACCTAAAGCCACGAAATGCTACCTCCTTTAAAAAAATACTTTTTTTTTTTGTAGGTTCAAGAAGGTATGAAGATGGTAAGAATTTATTAAACACTGACTTCACCAGCAACTTGGGTGGTGGTACTGCTATTAATGTCATATAATGGAAGTAGAAAATGTGAAGAATGCTTTCCTGCGCACCCGTACTGTTGAAGTTGGAATTCCCGTAACATTTTCCCATTAGTTGCCGATTTAGTGGGAATAGTACACCTTCAATAAATAGACTCCTCTCTATAAATATGAAAAAGCAAAACATGGGCAGGCTGTAAAACACAGGTGTGTAGTAGGCTCTCAACTTCCTGTACTGCGTGTTATGAACGGCTGTTTACCAAAAAACGTTTGCTTTTGAGTTTGTACTGTCAGAACGAAGTGAAACGCGAACACCGGAACGTATGGCCGATGTGCACGCCCTCGCAGGCCCCCTCTCAACTTTGCAGTTTTATCAGCCTCCAGGTAGCGCAGCAGATATAGAATGTCATGCGTTCTGCCGTGCACGTTTCATTCCATTCCGATTTTTTTTTTTTTTTTCTTAGTTGAGTTTGGCATGGCGTTGCAAATGTATTACGACTTGTTCAACATCATGCATGGTTGTTTGTGTTGACAAATATGTAGCATTCTGTCTGTGTTATTACATAAAACCCAAAGAATTATAGAAAGACTCGGCGGTAAAGTTCCGTCACTTTTGATTTGTCTGAAAATTTCCACCGTTGAAAACCATAATGACAAAAAAATATTGGGACAGTATTTTTGTCATTCCTGAGGAAATCGTCATAACTTAAATATGTTTTGGGGTCTATGAATCTTGGTGCGCAATCATTGAGGTACAGAGACTTATACAGCGACTCCCAACAAAAATCCCGTTGGTTGTCACTATGGTCACATGACCACATGGCCAGTGGGAGTTAGGTGTCACATGCGAGGGGGCCCCTGTTGCAGCAATGTCACTGCGTATGTTGGTCTTCTCGGCCGTAACCCTTTCCTGTCTTGCGTTTGCATCTCTGGCGAAATTTCAGTGATTGCTGATTTGCCTCTGAATTGGTTCAGCAGATCATAGAGGCTGTTTAATTAGTGATCACATTATAGGTAATTTCTGTTTTCTTGCAAAGTTGAAATGTTAGTATAAATGTCTGGTTTTTTTGTTGTTTTTTTAAGTCGGAAAATGTGGCAACAGATTTTGTAATCTGGGCAGTACATCCTGTTCCCAATGGGTTACGAGAAATTTTATGGTCTGGAATGAATGCTGGGAAGCTCACCCTGGCAGGACAAGAAAAAAAATGCCCAACAGACTGTGTTTTTTAAACTGCCCGATCGACCTGCAGTCTTTACTAGACACGACGTCATCCCATTGAAAAGCGCGGGAAACTTTGAATGTTGGTTTTGTCATCACCTTCGTTTGCCCTTCTCTCAATAACTATTCTGAATTTCAAAATAATAAGTAGCAAGCTGGGAAGAGGAAATCCCGGGTATTCCAAAAAGTAAGTTAGTTAGTTTGGGTAACTAAAAACAAAAAACGCTTATACCCCTTAATTGTTTTGGGCGATCCTAGCTCGTCAACGTGGAGCAGTCTCCAAAACCGTTCAGGATGAGTGTAGCTCATCTGCATTCCCCGGTTGACGCACTCAACCGTTTTTAACGAACCAGGCTCGCTCATGGCTTAGTTTGCAACTCTGCTAACAGACGGCAGGACTGCATTTTTTTTTTCTTGATTTTGCTTTTATTTTGTAGCTAGAAATATTTTTGAATGCAACAAATGTGATTTTGAAGACAGCAATAATGCAGTTGAGGATCAGGAATTTTCAAATACTAAACATGGTTAAGGGCTTAAGTATCTGTTAAATTACTGTTACCAACTTTACATTAGCCTCGATAGAGGTGCTGCCGAGATGAGACCACCCCAGCCTGCTTTCTAATCTCGGAGTATTGACAGATAGGCGTTTGCCATCAGCGTCTCTTCAGGACAGTTGTTCTGCACTGCACCATTTTTGGAACATGACAAAAGCCATTCTAATCTAGGATTGTGCCAGCCGCTTATTTAGTTCGGAGTTTAGATTGTACTATTTGCAAGTTTTACGGGTAGATAGAGACAGTGGTTTTTTATCGTTCGAGAAGGAGGATGGTCAACAGCGGATGGTCAGGGATTATATTTCGAATAGATAACAAAGCAGCACTATCAATGCTAGCACAGCTTCAGCAGTGCTGTACTAGCTTTCACCTCAAGTACCCCAGTGAAAAATGTTTGCGTCCTCACAGTACATACTTGTATGTGCACTTGAAATGTTTTGTTTGCTGTGTTTTCAAAACTTAACTGTTTCAAATGCAAAAACTGTGATTCTTTTCCTTCAACAACCGAATCTTGTGTGAACTCTGAGAAAATCTTGGTTCTTTCCTATGGTGACTGGGAATATAGTGGTTGGAAAGGGGGAAACCGCTAAGTGCAATTCCCCTCTCATTTTCGGATAAAAGGAAAAGGGCTTTGACCCCTCAGATAAGAGGGGAAGATCCCTGGTCCCTCTTAACCTTAGATAAAAGGAAAGAGGCTTTCGACCTTTTTAAGTTCCTTTGACCCTCTTATCCTTAGAGAAGATGGAAAGTGGATTTGGCCCTCTTATCTCTTAGATAAGAAAGGGGTCTTTGACCCAATTATTATTAGTTAAGAGAAAAAGGACCTTTGACCCCCTGTCCTTAGACAAAGAAGAAAGGGCATTTAACCCTCTTATCCTTTAAAACACTGGGGAAGCTGCACCTGCTTTGTTGCTCACTTCTTGCCGCCTTCCCGCAGAAAAAAAACGTAACGGTGAATGTCCGTCGACTTACAGAGGAGGACTGTGTCACGTCGGCCAGCTATTGGGTCGACCGACCTCTGCGCATAAATGCGGCCTTAGCCATTCGAACGAATCTTCACGTATTCTCACTGGCGGTTTCCTTGCATTTGTCCGAAGGTGCCAGCGGGTTTGCAAGTCGTCTGCTCCGCCTCTTTGTGCTGGGCAGCGAACCAGAGAAGCCGAGCCTCGAGCTGGGCGGGGCCTCCGACTTCTCTTCCACAACCACGAGGACGCAGCAGTCGCGGTCCTTTCTCAACGAAGCCTTTGTGCTGGGCTACTGCTTTCTTGGTCTCCAGGCAAGTGCCCACGAGCCGACGTCCTTGGATCAGCATACAACCTTTTTATTCTTAGACAGAATGAGAAAGGCAGGGAGGTGCTTCGGTGGGCCTTCTCCTTTCGTCATTACTGACAGAGCGAGGATGGTGCACTCAAGGTGCGCGAGGCGCCTCCCTGCCATTCTCATCTTGTCGGCAACCGTGGTGGCAACCTCGAAAGCTCCAATATTTCCACACTAATGGCGGTCAAGGGAGAGCAAAATCACCTAAATCAAACACCCTCAAATCTGTGAATCTCGAAAAAACAAGGTTTTCTTTCACCGTGCAGGTTGTCAATGCGACAATGCAGGTGATAATCTTGTTTGCGTTTTCGCGTTACCAGCCTTTCGCCTGTTGCACAAGCAGAACTTTGGCGCACTCCCGTGCCTCACAAGCGCTTCAAGTCTTCCCGAAACTGACTCTTGATGGCGCTAGGCAAGTCTCTAATTGAAACTGCGTTTATCTTCGCTTATTAGAAAGTTAATTAGTAAATTTTAGTTCATTACTTAGCTACTTGGTACGTTTCTTCTGCTATCCCCGATGTCTGTCATGGCTAAAAAAATGTTCCCAAAAAGCTTCATCTTTTTTTTTTTTTTTTTTTTCCAATTATTTTAGGGGTAGAATGATTTTAGTCCTCGCAGAAACATCTGGTATATTAACCCTTCAAGTGCAAATCTGTTTTGTTTTTTGTTTTTTTCCCCCGCATTTTAAACACAAATTTTAATTTCATGCAGCAAAACTGTGGCATGCTTTATCAAGTACATTTATTTACAGAAGGCACACTGATCTGCGGGCTGAAAGTTAATTGATGTCGGAATGCCTCCAGCCTTGGATATTTTATCTTGAATTGTACTTTTTGAGACGCCGCACTATGCAAAGTGGCACCCCAACCTTGCATTTTGGGGTCACTCTCTTCAAGTGGCCTTAACCGACATTTGTTTTTGTTGGGAAATGGAACTTCCTTTAGTTTATCACTAAATTAGTTCATTACGAATTTCTAGCTCTCTATGTTTGCCATAAAGCACGAGGCTGAACGGCATAAATTCGCCTTTCTGGAACAACGGAGGAGCAAACCAAGACAGAGGTCCTCTAAGCAAGACTTTCCAAATGTCATCGACAGTCGTTATTACGAGGCAAAACATTGCCCTGCACGTGAAAATAAAATGGACGGCCGAATTAGGAGAGGTCGAAACTGAAACCTGCGTGGTACCGCAAGAAATTTTGTGAATTTCGTGTTCACCTCAGCTGTGTGATGCAGAGTACTTTTGCACTGAAAACGCCCACAGAGACAACTTGAAATTTACTTAGAGTATCAACGTCTGTTCGCAACAACTTCGGACGCAGGTCTCCTACCTGACGTGGGGCGTCCTGCAGGAGAAGATAATGACGCAAAAGTACTTTGACGTGGTGTCCTCTGGCGGGGAGGGCCACCGCTTTCGGGACTCCCAGTTCCTGGTGTTTGTGAACCGGGTGCTGGCCTTTGCCCTGTCAGGGGCCTACCTGCTGGCCAGCCGTCAGCCCCGCCACGTGGCGCCCCTCTACAAGTACTCCTTCTGCTCCTTCTCAAACATCATGAGCAGCTGGTGCCAGTACGAGGCTCTCAAGTTCGTCAGCTTTCCCACACAGGTGCTGCTTTTCTCTCTTTCTTGAAGTTGGGGACAATGAGAATGGGGATTTGGCACCATCAGGCAGATGTAATGAGGCAAAGGCAGTCATTGAATAGGTGCATGATATACTTTTAGATGCTGTAATATTGGCAGGTCAACTATATAGTACTATTAGCTGATGAACCACCAGACAGATATACTATTGGCAGGTAGACCATCAGACAGATGTGCTATTGGCAGATAGTGGACAGATGTGCTGTTGGCAGATAGACAGTCGGGCAGATGCACTAGTGGCAGGTAGAAGACACATGTGTCAGTGACAGATGGAAGAAGCATGTGCCAATGAGACTAACAGACATATTTGCTATCAGGCAACTGCACAACCACATCAGCCTAATCCACCATCAGAAAATGAACCATCAGACAGGTGTGTCTATCAGGTGTGTGTACCGTAGGCAAGTACACCATCCCATCAGCCATACCTTCTTGGGGCAGATGAATCCTGAGGCAGAAGTGATGTCTGAAAAATGTTTTGGGGAAAATTCACCACAATTAAGATGCACCATCACATTGAGCAAACCCTTTGCGAGGCATACATGACCATCAGGCAAATGCCCCATCAGCGAGGTACACTTTCCGTCTCTAAGGTGCCCGCACCCTCCGTCGTTCCCAGGTGCTGGCCAAGGCGTCCAAGATCATCCCCGTCATGCTCATGGGCAAGGTCGTCTCCCGCAAGTCCTATGAGGGCTACGAGTATGTCGTGGCGGTCACCATCTCCCTCGGCATGGCGCTCTTCCTACTCTCCCGGGACCCCACAAACCCGTCCGCCTCCCAGACGTCCACCACCTTCTCCGGAGTGGTCATCCTGGCGGGGTACATGGTCCTGGACAGTTTCACGTCCAACTGGCAGAGCGAGATGTTCCGCTCGTACAAGATGAGCTCGGCGCAGATGATGTGCGGCGTCAACTTCTTCTCCTGCCTCCTCACCCTCGTGTCCCTGCTCCAGCAGGGGGCGCTGCTCGCATCGCTCCGCTTCATGGTCCGCTTCCCCGCCTTCTTCTACGACTGCCTCCTCCTCTCCATCTGCTCCGCGACGGGACAGCTCTTTGTCTTCTACACCATCTCGCAGTTCGGACCCGTGGTGTTTGTCATCGCGATGACGGTGCGGCAGGCCGTGGCAGTGCTGCTGTCCTGTCTCATCTACGGACACAGCCTGGGCGGGATGGGGGTCGTCGGAGTCCTGACGATCTTCGGAGCGGTGTTCGCAAAGATCTATCTCAACCAGCGAGCGCGGCGCGGTAAGCAGACGACGAGGCCAGAACCGAGGACCTCGGACACGAGAGACCAAGTTCCGCTCTTAGTGGTGATCTCAAAGGATCAAGAGACGTAGCGGCATGAAGTGAACTGTCGCGCCGCTAGACCCATATTTTTTTTCTACTAGTTGCGTGGCCATGACACTGGCAGAACACCAGCTTTTTAGGGTTGTTATTACTACTACTTTTGTTGTTATTCTACTTGTTTCACTAATTTCCAAAGAGAGCTTGTTGAAGCCCGTTTCTCTTCAAATCGAATCCTCGTTTTCAGTGTTTCCGAAGGACCTAGTGCTACTTTTTTTAAGTCCACATTGTTTTTCTATTTGCTCGCATTTAGAGCTAGCTCTTTACACGGTTTATGTGTGCGTCTTTGTAAAACTGCAAAGATGTTTCTCTTAACTCTTATTTCCCCCTTTTCGTACAAAATTATTTATTTATGGTGCCCAGCTTGTGGTGGCTTTTATTTTCATCAAAGTAAAGCTACGCACTTTTGGCGTTTGCTTACGAGGAGAGATAAACTCTTTTGGTTGCAAACACTACCGCGTTATCAAGGACAACTGCATGGTTGCCGTCGTCACTTTGCATAATCCACGTTTGTACAGGTTTGGCGAGAGATATAGAGAGAGAGATATATTTTTGTTGTCTAGAGGCTGCATCTCACAATCGCTGCAATTCCGACATGATGGAGGCTCACGAAGGGACGTAGCTCAGGGTGCCATATCTGTTCTTGCTCATAGACTTTGTTCGCCCAGACGGAGTGACAGGATTCTCGCAAGTGCAACGAAGTGGTAGAAGATTTATGTCAGTGCTGTGGTCTCAAGCCCCCCGCCACCTTTCGAGCTTATGCTTAAAGTCAAGAACTCGCTTTTCCTTTTAGTTTCAGTCTTTACACCGCAGTTTGTACCAGTGGCGGATCCAAGGGCTGTACCAGTGGCGACAGAGGTTGCTTGCCCCCCCCCCCCCCCCCCCCCCCAAAACAGAGTTGTGGATCCGCCCCTGGTTTGTACTAACTCTGAGCAAGCTCGAAAAATGGTGTGTTTGTTGTTTCTGCCGTGCAATGTGTTGTTGGCAGAGATGTCCACCAATAAAACTGTTGGATCTGCCTGTTTTAAATGCTTTTTCTAATTTTTTGGGTTTATTTTCACTGTCTAGTCGGCAGTCTTTCTTAAGAGAGGTACGATGCCTGGAGCCTATCTTTGAAGGGTGCGTTGTTGAATCTTCACTTTGTCGGTCGATTTTCCACCCACTGCCTTTGCAACGCTTGTCGTGCTTTCTAGAGCCACTAATGTGTTCGATGCCAGAAGTGCACAATGACATTTACCTGCTTGTCTGCTCGTGGCCTGTTCACACATGCTCTACAGTGCTATTGGTCAGCGCCGGAAATAACGCTGAACTTGCCTAGTGTACAGCACTGGCTTCGTCCTCCATTGGTGATGAGGCCCTGATACAGCCCTGCTCCTGCGCTGAGTTAAGTTGAGTTGCCTTCAGGTCAGTCAACACTGTTCCTAGTGTTTCTTTAGCACTACGACGTATGTGCGAAATGGCCTTTCGTTGCAGCTTGCCTCTTCAGCCGTAAATGTTCCATCAAAATTCTAGCAGCTAAAGACCGCAATGCTTCGACACCCATCATCTGCTGCATTATTTCTTCTAGAAACCATCACCAGGATTACAACGAGCTGTCTCGCACTGTTGAAGAACGTTGGGATACAATTATGTTGCTTTTATATGGACGCTTCAATGTATGAAAAATATATATGTACGATGCAAAGCACACTATGAGGAGATGTGTTTCAGGCAACAATCCAAAAGCCATCCCCATCTCTGTGCTTCGCTGATATCCGTTGTCTCGCAATCACTTCGTCGACGCTGTGCACTGACGAGGGTCTGCTGCATGCCATACAGACTGCTCCCGTGTCTTCAGACACAACCACGTAGTGCGAATGTCGTAGGGTTCCAGTTCGGATCCGTCGTCGTATGGAATGTGCCACCCTTTTGCGTTGCTGCCCTGAACAGAAATCTGGTGCCTTGCTGGTTTCTGAAAAGGCAAGGACGAGTTGCTTAAAGTAAAATCCCGGGATGCCCCACCCCCAAAGTGTGAGCCACCCCTAGTTTTGGCTTGATTTGCTATTTTTTTTTTTTAAGTCAAAAGATAGCCCACTCCTAGTAATTGTAGCGTTTGGCTCAATGATGACCTTAGCGTAAATGCGTCTAGTTAGCTATGGCGGCATATGAGAGAACATTGCTGACTGAAAAGTAATGTCATCTTTGCTTCATTGCCCCTCGCCACAATAACAAGTTTGACAGAGACAGATAATCTGAAAATAGCTTTTTTTTTTTTTCAACTTTTTTTGATTGAACATTGAAAGTTGGACCACCCCTTATTTTCATCAATTTTAGGTGGTCTATCTCTCACGATTTTACGGTACACACTGTGACAATGAAAGACTGTCCAGATGACACGCCGGAGAGTTGAGCATGAAGTCATCCTCGGAACCTCGAAAAGTCCTTTGTCCCCAGGAAAATAAGTATGAAGATGCTTCTAGCACAAAATGGACAATAACGACTTGTACAGTAGCACGTTTTCTAATGTTTGCATGGTCGTATATTGTTAGCAATTTTAAAAAGCCAGCAACTGCAAGGCTAGAGCTTCCTATACAGTAGAACCTCTGCAAAAGAAACGTATAAGGGCCCTCCAGATTTGCTTTTTCTTATCGTGAGGGGAGGATCCCCTCTTACTGGGGCGATGCCAAAAACTAACTAACAAACAGGTTCCACTTATTCCTGTTACCCAGAAATTCTCTCATTGAGATGCCACTATACTTTGTTTCGCCGTAAAGATTGTCGCACATGGGCATCTCAGCACCGAGGTACAGTGTTCTAGAGGGGGTTGTAGTGGCAAGAGCGGCGGACGCTTTGTGAAGATTTTGCGCGTAGACGACACCATGGCGCTGCTGTTCTGTGCCCTAGGAGTGCGCCCCCGTCAGCCCCATCATCGGCGCTCTTCGGCGCTTACTACTGTGGTTTGACTGGAGCTTTTCGCGGTGCGAAACAACTGCTAATGTTGTTCTGTAGTAAATTGTAGTTCTGCCTTTGGACTAATGCCTCTAGAGTGTGTGCTATCCTCTGTTAAAATATTCACGTGTTTTGAGGGAGATTATTTAATTAATATCGACTTCCCCCCCCCCCCCCCCCCCCCCCCTCCCAGTACTGACGCGTCGTTCGGCAACGCTACCACTTGGGCTGCAGGCTTAACAGCTACGAAAGAAGTTTTACGGTGCTACATTTTGGAGAAGCGTACCGCGTCACCCTCGTCGTCTTCTTCGTTCATCGCACACGTGCCATTATTTCTCCTAGGGCACAGAACTCCAGCGCCACTCGCGGTATCTACGTCGGCCGTTTTCACGCGCTTCATTGTAAGCGGGCACCGCTCTTGCCACTACACCCTCTAGAACACTGTAACCGAGGCAACAAAGTCTGGGCTGCATCAGCACTGCTGTCGGCATTGTGAGCCTCGACTTTATGCCGAGTTGGTACTGCATAGTGCATAGGTGGTAAATAGGAAAAGGCCAGGTTATATGTAACGGAGCACTGATGCAGTGCAAAGTTAACAGTGTGTCTTTAGACCACTTTTCGTGACAGCCGCCATGTTGAATTTTGACGTAGCTGGGTTGGGGGAAAGTACCCAATCACTTCATTTGCCGATTGGAAGGTGGTTTGTGGCACCGGTTCTAGTTTTTTCCCTGCTAGTATAGTTTTTTCTTATTGTGGTTATGTTTGAATGATTTGCCTTAATCTTTGTTGCCAAACCCAACTACCCTATGCCATATTTCAGAATGGCAACCGTCGCACGAAAACAGTCTATTCGCGACTCCAGCAAAACGGACGCCGCCAAGCGGGAAAACCGGGAACCAGCCGGTCCAGGTCGCTCCGCGCCCCTCCGCGTCTCTGGTGGCTTTCGCGTAGTCGTGTTGTCGGCGCGGTGGCGAAGAATGTAATTTGACGAAGGTCCGAATATTTCTTAAGTTTGCCTGAGTGATCATTAGTGTGGTGAAGCCTCAGTAAATTGTTTTCTTCTATTATGTGTTTGAAAGCCCGCTTACTCCACAGCACACGGTCGCGTGCTTTCGGTTTCTTGGATGGGGAGGAATCACGGAAGAATGTTTTGATTTCTTGTCTGTCTCGAATCACATTCAAAGTGACGACTGCTTGGTAACTGATTAGTGGTTTCTTTATAACATCGCAGAACAGTGGACTGAGGACGACAGATGAGGTGTTTCACTGGAGGCAACACCAATGTTGCAGTCAAGTGAATGGGAAGGTTCGATAGCTGCTTTGCTTGAGTTTGGTTGTGTTCGATTAGCTTCAAGATTGAGCCACCCACGCCGGTCGGTGCGTTGGCTATTCATCTTGGCTGCTTTTCGCCGAAAAAGCCTCTGGACCACACTGAAGGAGTTGGGCTAATTTCGCAGTTACTTGATTCAGGAAAACTTGCTCGCTGCAAAGGATGAATGAGGGATATTATCTGTTTTCAAAAGGTGGGAGACAAGTCTCGCAACGTTAGATGCTGCCACGGCATTTTGACCTATCGCGCTTCCAATATTTATATTACCAGGACGTCGAAGCCAGCAGTAATATACGTCTACATTGATCAGGTTGACCGGCCACAAAAAAATACTAATTTTCTCCGTTCAGGATTCGAAGCAAAGTTCAATGCAGAGAGGTTCTGCGTGGGTCTTCAATGAAGACTCTCTTCAGTTTGTCTCCGTGCTGCCGGCTATAGAACCATTTGGCTAAATTTAAGTAGTATGTCTTCGTCTGTCAAATATACTTTTATTCAGCAGCTCACCTAATAGCTAGTCAACTAATCTCATATTTCAACCCGAAGGATATACTAATATCGCTTTAGTGGGACCATAGTACGTAATATAATACATAACCCGCTCGTCAAAATGACTTCTCGATTGCTACTAAAACCTGAATTGAAATACGAGTATCAGCCGCTTAGTGGGGCGCCGGCGGGTTAACATGGTCCTTGGCTCAAAAAGCGGTTGCTTAATTTTCGTAATTTTCCTGCAGCCTGTGTTGATGGCCAAGCAGACGACTGGAGCTGTTTCGTAAACGCGGATACGCACAAAAGCTCGATTCCGCGGACAGATAAGTCGCATGGTCGAGGCATGCGAGTTAGCTGAAAAGTTACTATCTGTGGAACAATTCTATAGTCATCGCCGTTTTCTTTAGATGATCAAAACTGATTAGTATATTACCGTCTCTCCGGAGCCCATAGTTTCGGTTTTGAACGAAATCTCCGAAACGAAAGTTTGACACGAAAAGAACAAAAAAACACCGGCAAAACAAAACTATGATTTGCAAGTTTATCTGCACCGGCTACACTTCACCGTCTCAGTTCAAATACCTATAAAACTGGGCATTAAACAAAAGAAAATCTGTTAAATTGGAACGCGCCACCCATTCAGGAGGCCCGGCCGAGCCGCCGCGACCTGGACTCAGCCGCCATGTTTGTTTGGTGGTGGCGACCCCTATAGGTCGCTGGAGTCGCGAATAGTGCTCGGCCAGTGCTACGCCGTGTGTGCAAACGGGCCTTGAAGGCGTTTCATGTGTGCATCTTGGTGCTAACGCAAAGTAGGCGCTGCATCAACACTACAGCGAGTATTGACTCTGCGCTCGGTTTTAGCGTTGCATTGAGAGTGTAAGCAAGAAAAGCGCAAATTCGGTGGTGTTTCTGTAGCACCACATTAGCAGTGTGGTGCATGTGTGAACGGGCCTTCGAAATCAAATGTGCAAACCAGTCTCGAACGTCCCAAAGAGTGCACGCTCCATCTGCGACGTGGTCCCTCCTTCCTCCGGCTCCACTCACCAGCACCGAGAGCTTTCCCCAGCTGACGTCTAGCACTTCCTGGTGCGTCCTGCGCCACTTGTCGAAGAGGCCGCCCATCCTGGAGTCCTCGTGCAGCTTGTAGCGGTGGTTGCGCATCAGGTCCCTAGAGGCCACCACCGTCCCGGGTCCCCTAGAGAACGCGGCACAAAGCAGGAAGGGGTCGTCTTCCGACCTGCAACGATGGTAGGACGGACACTGTAGCCCCATTCCACCGTCGGAAGGCAGCCAGCGCTTCGAGCTGATAGCACCAATCGAGCAATGCTGAAAGCATAATGTCGCAGTTTTTGTCATCGTTTTGGGCGTGTGTCGTCGCTGGCAAAGCCAATTGAGTTCGGTGAAGTCGCTGTGACTTTGCACTTTTAGTCTTTGCATCCGTGTTGTGTGTCTCCTAGCCTTTGACTGCACTTTGACTTGTAGCAAGACGGAGTGAAGGAAATTGGGGGACGGCTTTTGAACGTGTGGATTTACCCCAGCCTATCAACCTCCTAAAAAAACCCTAATGTCAGTTCCGTGTCGCCTATGGTCTACACCAGACGGCACAAGCTGCCAGACATGAAGATTTTAGCCCTTGCCGTCAATTCATGTATTGATCCAGTGGGACATTAGATGGACAGGAAATTGTTAACAAATTCTGCCATGAACAGATGAGAGCAGGGCTTTCTTATTGATCACAGTGGGATATTGGAGATTTTTGCACTATTGCTGACAGACTGCCATGATTATGATACTTCAGAAATGTCCGTATATGTCAGTGGGACATGATGGTTTTATAAGGAATTATTGACAAATTGTACCATGTACAGAAATGGCGTGAAGGGTTTTCTCGGTTATGCCGGCGAGACATTGGGGGCTTTGTACTATTTCTCACAAACTGCATTGAAAACCAAGCTACAAAAATGTCAGGAAGATATAAGTCCCTCTTATCTATAATGAGAGTAGTGCAGAGCTTTACAAGTGCTGATTGTTGGGCGAGTTGGTATTGTACGCGAGAAAACATGATTGCGCTTTAAGACAAGTACAGAGGAGGAACAGACACCACAGAGCGCTAACTTTCAACTGATTTAATTCAAGAGCCTCAGCTCTTCAATTAAACTCAGAAAAAGAGTTAGTGTACTTGCGGTCCGTGGCGGGGCCATGGATCGGTTGGGATGTGGTGCGGTGACGCAGTGTGTATCTACGCTGAGGCTCTTGAATTAAATCAGTGGAAAGTTAGCGCACTGTGGTGTCTGTTCTTCCTCTGTCCTTGTCTTAAAGTGCAATCATGTTTTCTCACAGAGCTTTACAATTGATGCCAGTGGGACGTTGGTGGCTACACAGAAATTGCTGGCTAACAGCGCCGTAAGTTTAAGTATTTACCGGATATCCAATGGACACGAATAGAACACTAGCAGTTGTAAGAAAATTGTTGGCATGTTGTGCCATCAAAACAATATTTCACCAATGTCGGTGAGGTACCGGGCATTACGAACAGTTGTTCGCCAACTGCATCACAAAAACACTATTTTACCGATTGCCGACAAGCCATCGGTGGTTTCGTGAAGGATGGTTGACAAATTATGCTATGGAAACAATACTTTGTGGCAAAACGATGCATAAATTTTGCTTTCAACCACACAATAGCTGGCACACTCCCCTTCAGAAAAAAAGGCCATGCACCGCATAAAACCTGTTCATTGATTCATTCATTGACTTACAAGTCATTTGTCAGGTAGTACACACAGTGGCTCCAGACTTGGTCCATGACGTTCCGAGGCCATTTGCGCATGTGCTTCCTCCCAACCACGAGCACCTTCCTCTTCTCTACCAGCGTGTAGTGCTTCACCACAAGCAGCAACTGAACAGTGCGAAAACGGCCCACTGCGGTTATACAACAAACTACTGTAAAAGACAAAAACAGTGTCGGGAAGTACTTTAAGTACATTGTACTTAAAATATTAGTACTTCAAGTGGGTTCAGAAAACTTGTACTTTACTTGAAGTACATTCTCTGACTGTACTACACACAAAGTTCTTTTTTTCTGGTACTTTCCAAGGAAAGTACAACTCCCGACTTTAAAGTACAGTGCGTCTCAAACTTAACGCCGCCATGACATCGGCTGCCTCTGACAGTCCCTGTGGCGACCGATTGAACTATCTGAAGAATGTTTGGGTTTCCGATTTCTATCCCATCCTCAGAAGGCATCCCAAACGTTTTGGTGACAAATTTAACAGTAAGTAGCCGACACGAGCTCGATGTCTGGGAACGCAGTGACGGCGTTAAGTTTCGGGAGCACTGTACATTCCCCAAATGATGCTTTTTCAACTCTAGGGTCACTCGACTTCATCCACTGTTCGCCGCCATTTCCGGAAATAACTGATGCACCCCCGACTAGCCCTAAAACGATGCATACCGGTTAAAAGAACAAAACTTTTTAGGGTTTACCATGTTGTTAAACACCTGTGGCTGGGTGAAAAATCTTGAAACTTTTAATTGTTTCAAGATTTTCTCACAGAGTTTCAGGTGTTTTAACAAAAATGGTAAACTTACACCAGCTCGCCTGCACCCTCGCTGTGTTGACTGTTCAGGGGAATGAAAGGTCATCATGAAATATTGTGTTAACAAGCATTTGTACTTTACTTTCAGGACACTGTATTTATAGCACTCTACTTCAAGTATGTTGCACCCGGTGTCCTAAACACTTGAAGTATGTAACCTCTCATTCACTTTGTACTTTACTTCGAGTACTTTTATATGTGCTTTACCCAACACTAAAAAAAAAATATTCGAGCCATGAACAGTATGGTACCTTGGTACAGTATTGTCTCATTAGACCTTCAAACATGAACATTAGGGGTGGCCAAACACAAACCCCGCTACAGTCATCGAAAAATCAAGAAAAGCATGGCACGGCACCTGAGACTCGGTGCACCTCGTTATCGCTTCGACAAGAACTCCGAAGAATGAAATACAAAGCGAGAAGCACGAGCATAATGCGCCACGTCCCACGTCTTTTAGCTGTCGCCAACTCCAGTCTGACTTAACAATTGTCATGCCTATGCGGTCAACTTCATGTACAAACTCCAGGTTCAGTAAAGCTTCACTTGCATTACCAAGCACGGCTTCAACGATACAGCTTTCAGCCACCTTCGCTATGGTTTCGGAACGGAACGAAAATTGCGAACCGAACCGAGACGCTCTTCGTCCCCAAAGAAAGTAAAACACATTTGTCCTGCACAAGGGAGGATCTCACTGTCAGCAAGTAAGAACACTTGCTCTTACTGTCAACCAGCAGAGGGGAACTGGTGGCCAAGAGTGTTTGCACACCGCAGCTCGGAGCTTCCGGAGCGAAAGCTCGAGCTCCAGAACCCAGGGATCCTGGGCTCAATCCCCACCACTGCCCGTTTGGATCCAGATTGAGCAACATACCGGCGTGCGGTTGTGTAGCACAACTGCGTGGTGCACGTTACAGGTCTCAGACTAGCGGTCGTACTGCACTGGCTAAATTCCTCATCCACAGTTTCAACCGTTGCCATACCTCAAGGGCAGACTGACCTTACGCCGTCTAAATACAAACATCAAATTTACCTTTCTTTAGTCATCAAGAAGCAGGGTAATCGCTCACGTTTCTAGCTTTGTCTCCGTTGCTGTTTGCGTTTCCCTTGAGTGCAACGTTGAGGCCGTCGATGACGACGTCAAACGACGGAGCTCTACTCAAAAAGCGTTCGAAGTCCTCCAACTCTCTCGGGGTCGTGTTTAAGAACAGGTCGCTCCCTTTCATGATGCTCGCGAGAACCGCCAGTCGCAGTTCTTCAAACTCCTGTCTAGTCAGGTCAGAAGATTCCAGTAGGCATCCACATGAGCTGCAGGTTCCATCCCTGAATGGAAAGGTGAAAATGGTGTCTCTAATATGACCAGGCTAGGGTCTCAATGTTTCATGAAGCTATCAGATAAAACCGAGAGGTCTGATTGGCTTGCATGGTAACAAGGGCAAGTCTTATTTGTTGCTCTATAGCCATCATGGTAAATATAAGTGGGACTACAATGGCCAAAAATTGTTTGGCTGGTCGCTAACACTATAACAGTGTCAGAAATGACGACAGACCTCGGCTTATTCACAAGGGCCAATGCACGCAGCAAATTGCCCCTCCGACACCAATAAGTGAGAGCCCGATTTATATTGGAACACTACGCAAACACCTCAATTGGGCTTCTGTGAAGCTTTGAAAGAGACCACCAAATAAACAAGCTTGGCTCCTAATAGCTGTGTTATGAATGAGCAATAAAAAAAACTTAATTTGGATTTTTTTTTGTTAAATGTGAACTGTACATACACCCACACAAGCTAATCAAAACCACTTGCATATGTACAGAATTAAACCACTTGTTTGTTCTGCAGTGCCACCAGGCCTGTTCCTTTCATCTACAGTGTACTTCCAGCATGTCACATCTCAAATCAAACAAGGCAGAGGTACATTTTCTGCACTGGAGTAAAATTCATATGTAAACAATCGCCAATGTCATTTAACTACCGTAAAATACCGAGCGTTTGCACCCACACCACAAGAAACGCCCACCACAGACTTTTGACCCCATTCCGCTGAACGACATACTCGTCGGCGTCGTCCGCTTCTCCGAGCACCCCGGTGTAAAGTGGTGAAGCCGACGCACTCATGTGCCCCTTTTGCTATTTTGCACTTTGACCTAAAAAACATTTATTCCCGTTTTTTTTTTTTTTAAATTATTTTTACGTTTTTTAAATGGTTGGTGGGAGCTTGCTCGGTATTTTACGAGAGTAATTTACGAGTATTTTACGAGATACCTGCCGATCTCCGCAAAGGTACCCTTCCACGCCGGGCCTTCCTCAAACCTGTAAAACGATAAAAACACATATTCGTCCAAGAACAAAACTCAAGCAGCGTGTCACAACGTGCCTTCTGACCAGGCTGACTTCGTCAAAGTGCCTCCACCAATAACAACGGCAACATAAAAAAAAAAAAAAGGAGCACTCAGCTTTTCGTAGAACTCCTTGAGCATTTCTCCGACCGTTCGAGCCACCACGACTTCGGCGTTCGCGAGAAACTCCAACAGTCTCGTCACCAAGTTCAACGCTTTCCCCGTCTCGCCATCGCGCACCAGTTTCGAGCAAGCACCAAGGCAGGCTCCCAGAGAGCTAGAAAATATTTGGAGCGGCGGTTGCGTCAGTTTTTGCATCGCGTCCCAAGCGACATCCATATCTCCGTGTTTGAACGCCGCGTCGGCGACAGCGTTCAAGGATAGAGACGTGGGTCGACACAGCTCAGGTTCACTTTCCAGCAGAGGCAGACTCTCCTTCCAGAGACTCGTTCTGCATAGTCCGCAGATCACCGCGTCTCTGGTGCGAGTGTCCAGTAAGAGATTACCGCCCATACCGCTCTTGATGGCATTGTAACAGGACAGCAGCTCAGCTTCGTCGGAGCAGAGTGCCATGTACTGGGCCAGTAACAGCGCGCTGGGTTTGCTGTTACTCGAAGACCTCAAATAGTCGAGGAAGGACTTGGCCAGAGGGTAGTTTTGCTTGGCGACGAGGCACGTCATGATGGTGTTATTGAACGTTATGGGATTCAACGTCATCTTCGACTTGAAGCTGTCCCAGTCGGCAAGCGAAAGCGAGCGCTTATCGCCTGCATGCTCGATGAGGCGGGAATAGACGAGGTCGGTTTTGTAGTTCGGGTCTGATACTTTGCGTTGTCTGCTAGTGGATGTGGAAACGGGCCTGAAGATGCGATGTAGCCTCGGAATATCGAGTAACCGTTCGAAACAACGTGATGTCACGGGGGCCGCCATTTTTAAATTAGCGAGCACAATGTGGTCGGCTGTTCAAATCGTGTAGGACTACTTTCAGCCAACTTTAATCATTCCATATTCGCCAATGGAACGTATAGGGGCCCTGCAATCATATTTCAGCGTCTACCTTTTTTGCGGTTTCCACGTCTCCTAGGGTTCGGGCAAGCCAGCAGGCACGGAGAGAGTAACTAGATATCAGTGAGTCATATTTTAACCGGACGACGCGGAAACCCCCTCCACCCCACCGACGGAGTGTACGGAGGCGGCTCGCGGTGCCGAAAGCGCACGAAATGTGACGTCTTTGGTCCTGGGCTTACTACTGGTCAGAGCCGCTAAAAGCTTCTTTTTAGTTGAAATACAAAAAAAAAAAATAATAATAATAAGCGGTGCGAGCAAGCTCGATGGGCCCGAGCCATTTTAATAATGTGTAAAAGTAGTTTCTGTTTTGTGTTTTAGATCAGAAAAGAAACCAATGCAGTTTATAAAGTGCCGAAACAAGAAATCACCCGTCGAAATACCCGCCGCCAAGCGGTGGAAAAGGCGGCACGGCGCATACTAGAAGGGTCCCGGATGTACGCGGTGGTGCTTCAGTCGAGGATCCAACTGGTTCCGAGCGTTCCGAAGGCCTTGGGCAACGTTACTAAACCACTCAGTAGGGAAACTGCCATAGAGACTGCACTGAAAAAGTGGCCTGGATCTGTCCTCAAGAACCAAGCTAATGGCGAACACAACGCCGCCATTTCTCCCACAGCGGCTATTCGAAGAACTGCACATGACTTCTGTTTTGGCTTTAATCGGCCATTTTGGCACCGAAACAGATACAGCAGAAGAGGTTACAGGGGTGCCACCCCCGTCTCTCCAGCGGTCTTACTATCGAAGTTAAAATGCACTTAGGTCGGGACGCGCTACCTGAAAGCACCGCTGAGGCATGGCTGTATAAAAACAATATTAATTGTGCCACAAAACCTTGCAAACTAAAGATTTCAAAACATCACACGCCCCTCATTTTGTACTAAACTCCAATAAATTTCATACAAAAAGTCTTTTCCGTTTGTTTTTACGCAAAAACATGCTTTCACAAAGCTCATGGTGACCAGAGTACAGACAAATGATAAAGAGTGGCGCTGTTGTCGTATTTAGCTCGGTCTCGGCGGACGCCAGCGGCCCAGGTTTCGACGGCGAGTTTCCCAACCGAGTGTCTTAGTAACGTTGGCCTTGGGTGAGCAGCTTTGGCGGTATGGCAGCGCGAAGTGGCTCCCGTCCTGAACTGACCTTCACCCAGTTTGCTGTCGTTTGTGGCCAATGAAGTGTCATGTCGAATTAGTGTTTAATTCCCCAGCAAATGCAATGCGAGCCACCCCAACTGCCCACTTCATACAGCCTATCCAGAACATGCTTTAGTGGCGCCCTCTCGAGCCGTCGGCACGAAGTGCGGCAGCCGTGACCGCTCACTGAGCTCACTACCCCTCCTCTAGTTCACAGCCACTCAAGCAACCAAGGACATCATGAAGGAGGTTATTTTTTCTCGTTTTTGTAATTTTAATTTGCCTATAACCTTTAAAATAAAGCGAAATTCGAGAAAAGTTTCATCAAGCTACGTTCAGTGCGCTCAGGTTCGGTGCAAATTAAAAACCAGTAAAAAGTCCTTGCAGAGCCACTTAACTATTAGAAGGCAACTTCTAACAGACCGTGTGAGCGACAGGAGCAGATATGTGGCCGATGTGACTACGCCATTTTTTTTTCTCGGTCAACGTGAGCCGTGTGAGCGACCACATATAGCGCTGCGATTGGCCTTCCACGATTGGCCAAAAGCACATTATGACATACTTGGTAGGATATATTTTATTTTCATCAACGTAAGTAAAGGCAATGTCAGAAAGCGAAGTTCAAAGTTGTTGCGGCTGAGCATGCTGCGACTATTTCCATTGCGCTCTTTATAAGCCGCCGAACTTGTCATTTGGAACTGCTGGCGAGTAGCCAGGATTATAACACATAACATCACACCGAGGCAGATCTTGGTCACGTCAGATCGGAGCCACAAGATGGCACCTCCGAAACATATCGGCAATAAGCACGGCAGGGCATCCCTCTCGGTTGCCTAACCTCCAGCATGCGCTCATTGCCTTCTTCCGTGAACAGGCTCCACACTCGAATCGCATAAAACACCGAAGCTAGCTCTCGCTGGAGCCAGGACAGCTGAAAGGCCTCCCTGCCACTATCAACCCGACGGCGACTTTAGTGGCCAATTACAGTGCAAGTCAAAGGGATCGGTGGCTGTTTGAAGGGACGGCATAAATCAGTTTCCGAATGCATCAAGCCAAGATTTCGCACAGAGGTGGCCGAAGAATGTGCATCAAGGGTATAAAAATTTCACTGAACAAACTTATCAAAGTAAAATTTTGGAAATGAAAAAGAAGACATTTACAAATCTCTGCAATATGAAACTAGAGCGTAGTTCTTGAGTAGGGGAGGGTATGCTCCTCCTCCTCCTCCTCCTCTTCCCCTCCTACTTTCCTCTTGCTGCTGAATCTGTTCATGGGTGACATGACATGAGGTCATGGCGTCTTTTTTCCCTCTAAATTTAGCGGAGAAACTGAATTGGTGTCGAGGTCACGTGACATCCATTCCCCCGCTAAATTTAGTGGGGAAACTTAACCCACTAAAGTCAACGGAAAAATTTTTCCTCTAAATTTAGCGGGTAATTTTCATGCTAAATTTGGTGGAAACATTTCCCCGCTAAATTTAGCAGAAAAATTTTCTTGCTATATTTAGCAAGGAAATTTCCCCACATCCCATCATGCAACGCACGATTCCACCATCGCCGCTCAACCCAGAAACTAACACCCAAGAGCCGCGCTCTAAAAGTTGCAACCCCTTCCTACGGTGTCCGTGTGCTAACCAAAGGCATCTGATTATGGTATATCATGGCATGAAGCAGCCAGTGATCCCTTTGCTTTGCACTGTACTATGGTATGATCAAAGAAACCCAAGCTCAGGGAAAGCTGTTTCAGACAGCCACACATGCAGATGAAGACACATGATATTGACTTATTAAATACATATTCTTTATAAAGTACAAAACATGTCATTGTTTCAGTTTTTCTTAAAGGCTATTCTACAAGGTCCGTCGATATGTCCTAGCCAATGGCTTGGTCCTAGCACGACCCAGTAACATTCTTGTTGTTGAGGATCTCAATCCAGTAGCCGTCTGGATCCTGGATGAAGGCAATGTTCTTCATTTTGCCTGCAAAGATGTAAGCGAGGAAAGGGGCCAGCATTGGGATGCAGCATTCCAAACATTCCCCCAAAGGTCATCCTGGTGATAGCCCACACTGCCTGGTGTTAGGGGGAGAAAATTGGTTTAAGAAGGGCAGGAGGAATTATGTTTTTTTTTTTCTTTTTAGACTTAGGGTAGGTGGCACAAGCCACCGCTCGTTACAAAGGGTATAGCCATTAACATCAGAGCCGTACATGTAGAGAGTTTGGCCATTCGTTGGGAAGTATAGCAGACAAATGAGGAGGCGCTATTGGCCGAAAGCGGGCTGGGCGTGTTCCAGGGCGTCTTCAGAAATTCGAATGTGGCCCAGAAGCCGGAAATATTACCCTAGCGGTGGTCGCGAGAAACAAACCTGATAAGTGCATCGGAGTAACCCTCGGTGACTGAAAATATGGTAAACATGATGTTTCAATCACGCTCATCCAAAATGATGGTGGAAGAGTGCGACTAGCGGAGCGATCGACATAACCCTTACACCAATCGCCGAGAATCTGCCATCCGAGCGGTCACACTCTGCCCGAGCAAAACAGAGTTGAGCGGCGCATTCGTTTCTTACATCTTTCTGCATGATCATGATCGAAACACCACGTGCACCTTATTTTCAACCACAAAGAGTTACGTACTAAGCTTCACTTTTACGTGCTTATTAAAACGATATACAAACATATATCTTTGATCAGAAATGTTTCTCGCTACCACCAATAAGGGTTCTTTTCGGCTTCTGGTTGGTCAAGAGAGCATGTCAAGCCCTCTTTCCAAGGCCTGGCTCTGCCAGCACTCCCATTGACCAAACTCTTTCTAAACACGGCTATGATTAACATCCATCCATCCATCTATTTCCCAGAAGTCAAGGGCAGACCAGAGACGCACATACCGTCCTGAAGTCTCTTGACAAACTTGACTCCCAGGTCTTCGAATCTTTTGCAGGCCTCTTCAACATTTGGCACCATCACACCAATGTGTCCTGAAATACGCATTCAACTAATTCAGGCAGAAACAAGGCACCCTTACCAAGAAAGCTTTCAACAAGCGTTCTTGAACATACAATTGCTTCCAATATGACTCGGGGGAAGGGAAGCCATGAAAAATTTCCCAGCGAAACTTGTGACATATTGTAGCATGGATATGGGTGTACTGTCTACAACAATATGAAAGGCCCATCTGGCTAGGCAGTTTCAGGTGGCTGTGCTAGATGCACTTTTGCCAAGCCCACATTGCTTAGGGTGAGGAAATAAAAGAATGCTTGTGATATTTCCTCTCTAAAAATGAATCACATCCGGCCACAGCGCACTTAGCACTGCCACATTAAAAGGGGGCTTTCATGTTGTTGGAGACCGCACTGATTGAATGCATGCCTTAAAATAGCACTAAGGAGGGTTTTTTTATTTTTATTTTAATGGTGCAATTTTAATCTATACACCCTAAGTATCCTAGAAAACTCAATATTGAAGTGGTGCATGACCTTTTTCCCTGCCAAAACACGAGAAAACAGTATCGCATGCCTCTTTTTCTCAGATATATCTCAGAAAAGGGGCACATCACAATGTTTAGTTTGTGTCAATAGAAAAAAAGGCAATTCATTATCGAGTTTCCTAGAGGTCTAGGACGTGTAGATTGATTTGTCGCCATAAAAAAGACAAAATCAAAATCCAGTTTAGCGCCCCCTTAAAAGTTGCTAGTCTGTTGCTGTCATCAGACAAAGAACCATAAAAAATAACAGCAGAAATTTTTATTTCTTGAATATATACACTTAAAACCATACTTCTAAGAAATGGGGTATGCCATAGGAAAGTTTTCAAAACAAGAAGCCACAAAGTGACTCTTTGAATCCCATAACCATGCACTAAGAGCATGCTTTCACTCACCAAAGCCTCGCGGCTCCGAGTTCCCGTTGTGGTACTTAAACTCTGGATCATTTTCAGTGCCCCAGTTGCTAAAAATAAAATTGTTAAAAGACAGCACACATTAAGATTCTTTACTTACAGCCCCACTTATAACAGAGACCTCTCCACTTGAAAACCAAAATATCTAATGCGCAAAACGCAAGTAAATCTGAGCATATGTCCACGACACAAGAAGCGCCCGCCCACAACTTGCAAAAAGCAAAAGAGATACCAAGGCCCCATCCCAGACGTCTGAGCACAGCTAGCTAACCAAGAAGCTCTTTCTCGTCGGCCGCTTTTTCGAGCACGCCGGTGCAATGCAATCAAGCTCAACGCACAAGCGCCAGTGCTCAACGTCGAAGCTCGCCCCACCCTGTGACCCTTCCGCATTTTTTTTCACTCATACCGAAAAAGCACCCATCACCCCAGTTTTTCAATCTTATCTCCAACTTGTGGGTGGGCAATTGACCGGCGCGTAATGGCGTAATGCAGCCGACTCACTGTGTGAGCTCCAACGTGGCTTTACGGCCAAAGGTCCACTCCGTGCGCTTTGCTCGCTCCGCTGGTATGTCCTCTGCCTTCTCGAACCCCATGAAAAACAGAGAGAACTTCATCTCAGGGAAGTCCAGCTTCTGCAGCAACCTGCGCCAAGAAACAAATGCAATGAGCGTCTCACGAGGTCGCAAGGACGCCCTCTAACCTGCCGCCAAACCTTTCACTCCCAGAAATCCGGTGTATCTAGTTTCTCACAAAGCATTTCGGAGAGCCAACTGCCACAATCTAAGGATGAATGACGAAGCTGAAAATATGTTTATAGACCTAAAAAACACTGCGCAGCGAAGCTGGGCATAACGTAGGCATGGGCTCAGTATCGCGGCTAAGATTGCACATCAAATGTGTTTGTAAGGTGCTCTAGTGAAGTAGGATGTTGGCCATATTAAAATTTTCCAAATTTCCCGGCTCTGCAAGGTCTTCGGTGAAAATTCCGATATGATCCCGCACTAATTTAGGAAAACAAAATGTTGAAAGCCGTTAACAATGACAATAACACTGTGCAGCTACGAGCGGTGAAGTTTTGCAATATTCACTCTTCGACCACCCTACAGTATATACGTATTCTTTAGGTTATTTCTACAGGAGCTTATCACCTAAAAGCCAAATTCGGGTGTTGAGAGCAAGTGCACTAAACAAAGCGTGCCATCGCGCGAAGACGTTTCACCGTTTTCTACCCACTTCTGCAACATCACGACCAAAGCATTCCCTTTTTGTAGGCGCCCAGTAGAGGCTGCTGCAGTATAGTACTCTGTTCACCCCTAAGCTGACAGTGCAGTGGGAGTTGCGTGCCCAGTGGACCAATCAGCCGCCTCAGTTTCATCACCTGACCCTGCTCTCTGCAAGCAAATATGGGCAGGAGCATGATCGCGGGGCGAGAGATGCAATGTTGTCCAACAAGCTTGTAGCTTCCACCACAGCGTCAGCTTAGGGACAAACAAAGCATACCTGCTGCAGCACCAGCAGTATTGGTACTGCCGTTATTGCAGTAACACCTGTTTTACATGCAGAATCATTTTATAAGCAGCTGCGTGATGAAAGCATGTTTCGCTAGGACAAGCTCTACTTCAGAGTTGGGAGATTGTTACCTGCACGATATACCAAAGCAGTGCAAACAAAGGCAATGCAACTGAAGGCATTGCGTGGCCAAAGTAATATGTAATGTGCTGGAAAATGCCTTGACATATGCAGCAGGGGTGTTGAAACATGTTGCACAGCACTGGGGGGTTATGTTCGACAAACGTATCGTTTCTCCTAAAAAGAAACGGAAGCGACGATATCGCGTCTGATTGGCTAGAGCAGGGGTGGCCAGGCTGACCTGGATTAAGAGCCCGCATACAAAATCACGAAACAACCAAGAGTCGCGGGAGGGGGACTTTTGTTTAGAGCAAAAAATGACCGCATTTCCACGTGGTGAATAATGTTGATTGGGGCGAAGCTCTGGTGGTGCTGATACACTGAGCCGCAGCATGCCGAGCTTTTCGTTCGTTTTCATCCATGTCAGAAAGAGAATGTGTGGTATGGAACGTGGTTATATACGCATTTGAGCATTTGACCGCAGCGCCCTCTCGTCTATAAATGTTGAACCAGTGCATGCAAAGTTTAACGCGATTATATACGCATTTGACCGCAGCGCCCTCTCCTGTATAGACGTTGAGCGGCAACATGCAACGTTTCATCCATGACATCCCCAGCTCTTGAGTTACTACCACATCTCAGAGCCCCCTACTCGTCCCGCAATCGTGGCCGAGTGGTTAAGACGATGGACTCGAAATCTATTGGGGTCTCCCCGAACAGGTTCGAATCCTGTCGACTGTGCAAACATTTTTTTTCTTTTTTTTAAGAAGACAGATGGGATGGCAATCGATGTGAGCACGGACGCCGGGAGGCTAGACCTTAAGGAGCTTCGCCCCTAAGAAACGAAAATCTAACTACTTTCAACCTATCCGAGTCAAAAGCAGCCCAACTGTACGTAAGGTAGCGGTTGCACAAGACTACCGAACCGCAACCTGTTTTTTAATTTAAAATGCGTTTCACTTTTCTTTTTTTTTCTTTTTTTGAGGGGGGGGGGGGGGGGCGCGCAGGAGAGGAAGGGAGCCGCGAGCCATACTTAAACTCGCGAGCCTCTAGCCCAGGGGTGGCCAAGCTGCAAGCCGCAGTTTGGCCACCCCTGGGCTAGAGGCTCAAATGACGAAAGAAGGAACTTTCGTAATTTGAGCCTCTAACCAATCAGACAGGATATGTTCAGTTCCATCACTTTTGTTTCTTTTTAGGAGAAAAAAAAAACAACATTTGTCGAACATAGCCCCCCTGGTGACAATGCAGACCGGTGGTTGCAAATTCTAGAGTATGACATCGCATTATGCCCATTATCATTATTCTTATTATTATAGCAATGAAAATAGTGCTTCTTTTTTTAATTTAGTCTTTTGGCTCTGTGCTTTTTAGCAAATAATTTGTCAGCAACAGTGGTGTCAGGTACATAGTTCCAGAGGGAGCGATTTTTGGGACGTCGTAAGGGAATGGAACGTGGTTTAGTAACTGCCACGTGACCATGACATCAAGCAGAGTGCGTTCGTTTTTGCATCATTACATCTGCTAATTTTTGTCACGTGATGCAGTAAGAGTTACAATTTTGATTTTTTTAATTTAAAAGAGTTAGAAGAGCGACCTGGTAGAGTTACCGTCGTTGAAACCTCGCGCGACAAAACGAACGCCTTCATCTGCAGAGTTATCCAGAGCGAGAGTTCCGATTATGGCGTTCTATGGGCTACAGTGTCATGGTCGCGCTTGACCGACCAGCCCTCCAGGCTCTGAGCCAGTCAATCTTCGTCAAAGTGTGGCTTGTCGCGAGCGCAATGTCATGATGATGATTGGGGTTTTTTGGCGCAAGAGCAACTTTGGCCATATTGCGCCAAACAAAGGTTTTTCAAAGAGGCTCAAAGGTATAATCTATAAGAACTGGAAGCTACAGCTGGTGTAAAAGGCCAGTTTTATGGAGGAAATTTAAAACTCGATTGAATGGTACCAGTGGTTGATCGCCAAGCAGAAATAATGGGTGAAAGAGAGAGTGACCTCGAAAAAGTTCTGGAAAACATGATCGTCGCTCTTGGTATAAAGATATGCAATGCCACAGGATGTGCAAAACAGTCATAGCTTTCCCACAGTTGTTGCAAAGTTTAACGTCCTCAACACAGAGCAGGTGCAAATGAGTCAAACGTGTATGACCGATTTGTAAGCGGCACAGGAGAGCTTCAACCTGACGGTCTTTATGGAAGGAACTCTCCCCCACCCCCAGTTGGGGCTTGATAAAATGAAGCTTGTTCTCTTTTTCCATATCCCAATCCAACTGCCATGACTTCATAATTGATTTCTGGATGATTGGTTTGAGGTCTTGGTGTGGCAAGCCAAGAGGCAGTTTTGGACACTCTTTCACAGAGCCAGCAAGCAAGTCTGCTTTCTCATTGCCGGAAATACCCACGTGACTATACTCCGTTTCACCTTCAGTCCGAGCGCAGCGAGCGACGCTAGGAGCCATCCCAGCCAATCCAGCGTGGAGAGAGTGCTATGTGACCTTGAGCTCCCTGTGTCGCTCTGCCGAACCGGTAGGTCACGCGATTTTCTCCCGGCGCTGGATCGGCTGGGATAGCTCGTGGCGTCCACTGCGCTCGGACTGAAGGTGGAACGAAGTATAAGAACCCAACAGAATTTGAACAAGTGTCCTAGTTAAAGTGCTCGGTTTAACCGTACCCGAAGATATTGCACGAGAAGGTTCTTGCTGTCTGTTAAGGACGAAATGGCTAGAAGAACGCTCATGGAGTCGACAAACAGAATTGCTTTCATGATATTGTTCTCCAATAAGTACTCAACAGCCATTGAAATGGCATACAATTCAGCAGTAAAAATATTTGCAAGAGTATGGAGTTATCTAACTTTTTTGAAGGCAATGGAATAAACCGCACACCCCACGGAGGTTGATGTTTTTGATCCATCAGTGTAAAAGTGTGAGTAGTCCTTGTATTTCTGTTCCAGTTCGGCAAACTCCTGCTGAAGAATGAGTGAAGAAATAGCTTTTTTTCTGTACTTCGACAGTGACCAGTCACAAGAGATTGGCAGAAGGTCCCAAGGTGCAATTTTTTCATTGCTCTTCAGCAAAGCACCTTCGCTAACGGGAAGCTGGAGTGATGTTGCCATGCTTTGAACTCTGAAACTCAGAGGCCGAACAACACTCAGCTTGTTTTCAAAGAGTCGGAGGGATTTAGCAGGTTGGAGAGTGCAATGTCATCGCCCGCGAACAGAGCGCACCTGTGCTCACTGTGAAAGCTGCCCAACATTCATACTTTACCCACTGTGCAACACTGCCAGCGCAAGCACACATCGGCACTTTTTCGAATATTACTTTCAATTGTTCACAGAGGGCAACAGTTCTTTTTGCCTAGGCTGGTGCCCCAAATGAGCACTCCCCACAACACTAGCGGCTTTGATGAGGGCCGCTTCATTATAAGAGGGAAACAGCAAAAACCAGCGATCGCTTGTTCGTGCTAACAGTGTCGTGCTCTGTACCTTGCAGATGCAAAGCGACAAATGCATAAAAGGTTATGAACTTGATTGTACTCGCACATTCCACTGCTGGTCCTCGAGCTTGTTGTGCAAAGCTTCAGGAGGACATTTGCCATATTAAGTTCCAGTTCTTCCAGTTTCTCTTCGGAAGTGACATATCCTTGCCACATACCTTCGCATCTTTCCAGCTCCTTCAGATGCTTCTGAAGCACCTCTACTTGTACATCACTTGGAATGCGTGCCTGTACCATCCACTGCATTACCAAGAAAAGTTGTCGCCAAGCTTAGTCAGAGACACCCAAGTTTTGAGCAGGAGATCCGCGGTGGTGAGAAGAGTGAGAGGGAAAACTCGTAACGCCATCTCTGCATGACTTATAAAACTAAGCAAGCACATGTGGCGCCATCGCGTGTTGGGTTCAAAAAAAGTGGTTATAAGTCACAGTACAACGTTACTAGAACACTCAGTTGGGAAACTCGCTGTCGAAACGTGGGCCGCTGGCGTCCACCGAGACCGAGCTAAATACGACAAC